ATCCGAGATTAGGTGGACAGCCACGGGCAGGTCAACTCGAAAAAATAAAATTATTCACACTGCTTCTGTACATCAGCATCACTGAGTGGCATGTCTGCAGCGTTTGTTTACAGTCACAAGTTATTAGAAGTAAACTGTTGAAAATTACTGTTATTGGGTAGCCTTGTTAAATTAGGTTTTGGAAAACAAATAACCTTGAAAACAAGAATTTTGGTTTCTGAACGGGTCTTGTCGACCTATGACGTCAGAGTTCAGATAAGCACCGCACTCTCCGCAGTCCGTAGACTGGTACTCACTCCGCACTTTTACCCCCCATCGAGTAATCGAGGTCGGGAGCAAGTACCAGTCTAACGCAGTCGCGATCAAGAGAATCAATTATTTTAAATTATATACATTTTAACAAAAATCAATTCGCTAACGCCAGTCTATTAATTACATTAAAAAATGTTCTAGTTTAAATAAGATTTTATATTTACTGTGTGTATCATTAGGTGTTTGTATTTCGTGTTATTTTTATAGTACGTTTGTTTGTATTTATCTGCCACAAGGTGGCACTACTGCCATTAGTTTTAACCGGTTAACATGGTGAGTTTGCAAACTTTCATTTCTTAATCATTTCATTTCAGTTCAGGAGTATATGTTATGGTATTAGATATTATTCAGATACAAATATAGATGCAACTTGCTCCTATGTGATATATTGCATTTGTGTTTTCACACAAAACAATACTTGTTTGATAAACTGTAAGATGGAATTTTGTTTACTAAATGTGCCGTGTGATGTACGGTCTGAGACGGTGTGACTGTGAGCGTACAGGCTACGTTTCTACATGATATATCATCGGCCCCAATTCTACTCTGGGCCCCTGCAAATAAATCATCATCCTCGTTATTCCATCTATGCCCCGTTAGCGTATGATATCATGCACACAATGATAATCTACCTAATTAACTAAAAAATCCAACATAATTTCACCTGCGTTGCATTTCATACGTACGGTACAAAAGTTTCAGTGCTAGAGTAAAATAGTAAGGCCGTGGCTACGCGTCCGGACATCCATCTCACACAGTCATCTTGCGACACGTACACGCATGATTGGCGCAACGGGGCGCTCTTCTGATTGGCCGAGGTGTGTGTGTGTATGCGTGAGAGAGAGAGAGAGAGAGCTAGAGGTGTGTGTGTGTGTGTGTGTGTGTGTGTGGTGTGTGTGTGTGGAGTGCACAGTGTGTGTGTGTGTGTGTGGTGAGTGCAGCGTGTGTGTGTGTGTGTGTGTGTGAGTGCACGTGTGTGTGTTATGTTATGTTTTCATACTTGTCGGTGTTCACTACACTGGATATAATGACAAGGTAGTAAGTGCCTTCAGGGATAACCCAATAAACAAACAGGTGCATAATGATGATGTGAGTGCAATGCAACTGGTGTCCTCCTGTGTGTGTGTGTGTGTGTGTGGCTGCGTGCGTGCGTGCGTGCGTGCGTGCGTGCGTGCGTGCGTGACGTCGCGTGCGTGCGTGTGTGGTGAGAGAGCTAGAAGGTGTGTGTGTGTGTGGAGAGAGAAGAGAGAGAGAGCTAGAGGTGTGTGTGAGAGAGAGGAGAGAGAGCTAGAGGGTGTGTGTGTGAGAGAGAGAGAGAGCTGTGCGTGTGTGTGTGAAAAGAAGAGAGAGAGCGAGATAGGACGGATGAAAGGATAGACGGGCAGCAGTGCATATATATATTTTTACGGCAATCAGCAGAGTGTCCTGTTGCGCAATCATGCGTGTACGCAAGTTGCAGCACGATCACTGTGTGAGTGGATTTCGGATGCGTAGCCGCTGGAGGGTAGGCGACCGGTTTCCGGACGCGTAGCCACTGCGAAAATAGTATTAGTAGGGTCAAAAATATGTTAACTTTGGTACTTTCACGTAATAACTTCACACCTATGAGCAAGTTGAATAGAGATTTCGACCATCGTTTCATGCAGACAACCCAGGGTTCTCCATACGTTTGCGCCAAACGGGGGGCGCGCGCGGCCCGTTTGGGAAAACTCCCCCTGTTTCAATGCGTTGCGCCCCGTTTAAATTACCTCCGCCCCGATTAAATTCCACCACAATATAAAAGTTTGCCAGCGCGGGAATCGATCGTCACAGAAGTACCATTCGACCAGGACACCCGGCGTGTGTATTTTTACAGTACCAGACGCATGCACTGGGCAGACAATACACAAGTCAAAAAGTCAACCTGTCCACACCCAACACTAACTGTACACCGCTCGACTAGTGCTTATATATACAAGAACCCCAAATACCGTCTATGGTGTGGTGGCGATTTTACGCATTAATTAGTGGTAGCGGTAAAAAAACACGCGCCCTATGTTCCTCCCCCTCCCCCTTCCCTTCCTCTCCCCCCTGTTTGAATTTCATCCTGGGGAGAACCCTGAACACCATACATCACACCTCTTAAAATTATATCTGGTGGCATGAAGGCGGAATACTCTGCAGTTTCTAAATAGGTGTGAAGTTATTGCATAGAAATACCAAGTTAATGCATTTTTATCCCATAAGGCTGGCATTCGCAATGCAGGGCAAGTACACACATGCAGAAGAGAAAGAGTGGGTTAAGGGGATAGAAAGTAAGTGAGCGATGGATGGTTTCTTCTTCTTCTTCTTCTTCTTTTACTTCTTCTTCTTCTTTCTCCTCCTCCTCCCCCTCCTACTCTTCTTCTTTTTCTTATTCTTTCTTATCTTTGGGGCTTCTCTCGAGGATATGTTTTCAAGCTCCTGGCATCAAGGCACTTTGAGGAAGTGACTGGTCATGTATAACACTCTCACGTTATTCGTGTTTGTTTTCTAGAAGTCCTCCCACTATGAAAGCCTGTCCCAGAGAAACATTGATCTCTGCAAAACTGCATTCATTTAAATAATCTTGGACTTGCGCACTCATTGGACATTATTCCTTATGAAGTGCCCAGTGTAGAAGTAGAGTAGACATGTATTAAAGTGTCTGCGGCATGTTTTACAGTTCCGAAATCAGTACGACAACGACGTGACAGTATGGTCCCCCCAGGGACGCATTCATCAGATCGAATATGCTATGGAGGCAGTGAAGCAGGGAGCGGCCACTGTTGGTGTCAAGTCCAGCACACATGCAATTCTAGTGGCACTGAAGGTGTGTGAATGCTAAGGATTGATAATTTCTAACATTTGCAACCTAGTCCTGCATTGCTTGAATAGGGTAAACAATTCACGTTTTTTACTTGGTAGTCATACAAACTACTAAATTTTGTGATCCACATATGATTTAGGCTAGTAGTTCAGATTGGCTTTGTTTGATCAAACTGTTGGTACTTGCCATTCCTCTAAAACATTGGTTTTAAAGTATTTGTAAGATGAAAGCTGTAAGTTTTCTGACAGGTAAACTATAAATTGATTAAGTTAAATCGTAAATCTCAATATGTGTATCTAATTCGTACTGTTGATGAACTCTAGAATAATTGACACCTTGTGTCATTTATATGTGCATAACCTTACTACCAAATTCATATTAGGTTATCCAACTTCAATGCTGGTTACTAATAAAAGGGTCAACTGGAAATCATCTGCATTAATCATCAGTTGTTTACAATTTGAATTACAACTGCCGAAGCAGGTGCAACAGTGGTTTCTTTAACCACACATTTTCACATGCGTGCTATTCCGCGCACATGCTCGGTTTGTCACCCGGGTTAAAATATAATGAATATGCATATCTTTAGTACTCCTGCTAGTATTGTCACATGATGACGGTATTGTTTATAGGCTTGTTGTCGGGCAAAAGTTGGACAAATTTTTTAGCTTGTTTGTTGATAAACAACATTCAACTATCTGGTTTGTAACGTAACCAGCAGTGAAATTTGACAAACTAATATGAACTGGCAATAAGGATATATAGTTATAAATGACACAATGTGTCAGCTGTTTTATTAATTGGCAACAGTATAGATTGCCAAACCAGTCATCGCTAAAATCGGAGCCGTGTTTCATGTGTAATTGTAATAGTTGCAGACTGCCATGAGTTTCACACTCCAATCTCATTTCACATTTGTCTTCACTTCTGTAAGTGGGTTACAATATGATGTTGCTTGCAGAGATCAACGTCCGAGTTGTCAGCGCATCAGAAGAAGATCATTCAGATTGATGATCACGTTGGGATTTCTATTGCCGGTCTTACAGCTGATGCCCGTAGTTTAAGGTATTGTTCCATGTTTAACACTAAATTTATCACAGTAGTAATGAAGAGACTAACCATAGTTAAAGAAAATTGCATTATAGTTGGTTTACAGCTTCTTAAAAAGCCTGATTTATTCATGTGTTTTGTCATGTCGACCATTTAATTGTTTTACTTGTATACTACATTTTTTGCTGATAGAGAATTTAAGATATGTAATTGTATACATGGTCGTACACATTATTATAGGAAAGTAGTACTTTGTAGCACCCTAGTAGAGGGGGCAGTGGACCTATTGAAAGGTATTTGCTGATAAGAATGTGATTGCGTTCTATTTGTAAAATTGTAGTATGCGTGCATTGTGTTAGTGCATATGTACATGTTGTTTGTGTATGGTCACATGTACATATACAAAATATATACTGATTAGCAATTTGGATAATATTAAACATTACTAGCAGGCATAGACAATTTTCCTTCATAAATTAGATGGTTGAATCAACCTTTTGACACCAGGAAATGTTTAAATGTTGTAGTTGTTTATATTTTTTTTTCAGTCGCTACATGAGAAACGAATGCTTGAACAACGTATATGCCTATGGCACTCCTCTCCCTGTTTCCAGACTCGTCACTACGGTTGGAAATAGTATCCTTGACTGTTTTGTAATGTGTTCAAGATGTGAACATTAGAAATGAGCAAATTCATGATGTCATTTGATATTGGAATTTGTAATCATGACGATAATCAGCATATTCTCTGAACAATAGTTATAGCAAATAAAGCATTGTCATTATAGTTTAATATCGCAATTTACATTGCTTGCTTTATATTTGCGGATATCTGCAGGTAAACTTTTGATTGTCACGGGTATAGCAATGGTGCTAGGAACAGTGGTGGTGGCATTTGCTGTGGTAAAAATGGTTGTAGTAGTAATGCAGGGCATTTCTCTCATTAATCTTATAAAAAAATAAAATGTAAATATTAAATAGTAATTTATTCATAACAGTAAACAAACCAATAACAAAGGATAGAAATGTAGAAAACAATTATTCTGATATTACCTAAAATCTATCTAAAATCTTGCTGTTGAATTTTCTTAACTGCATCACTTTAGAGTTGCAGGTGTGCACACAGAGATATGGCCGAAGACCATTTGGTATTGGACTGCTGGTAGCTGGTTATGATGTAAGTATAATCATAATTACGTGTGTAATATATCATACATTATGGTTTAAAGAGATAATTTACAGCCATACTCATATTAGCAATTTAAATTGGAGTTAGCTCAAATATGCAGTTTAAGGGTAGTGTATATAGCAAGCGAGAGAAATTCTCATATGATTTGTGTAATGTATCTTGCAACAGGAAATGGGTCCTCACATCTACCAGACTTGTCCATCCGCTAACTACTTTGACTGTAAAGCGATGGCAATAGGAGCCCGGTCCCAGTCAGCACGGACCTTCCTAGAGAAACACCTAAATTCCTTCAAGAGCATTAGTAAGTTGTGCACTGCTTACAGCTGGGTATTAACACAATGTGTAGGGTTAAATGCTCATTGTTATACTTGATTTAACATCAGCAGGAGAAGGTATGACTCCTTCAATATTCTGCTAAGCTATACATAAGTAAAATTCGAACGTATGAAGTACAGTACTGCTCTATGTGTTTTAAATTCTTATTCTGGTGTAATGTTTATGAGGTGAAGTTGTCTGTTTAGAGAACCGGTAGTCGGTTAGATTTCCCAAAGCCTGATATAAAATTAATATCTACCCCTGTGTATGGATTTAGTTGGACACTAGTGTTGATCTCACATGATATCATTGCATTACAGTTTTATGTTCTGGTATATGCAATAATACCCCACGTTACGGCAACTCCGGTTATGTAATTTCGTCCTTGCATAATGATTTCGCCCTATTTACTAACGTTTGTCCTGGAATGCATAAATCACGTAATGTGGGGTATTACTGTATTACATCGTTTGTTGAAAATATAGGGAAATGCAGTCTGCAATAGATTTTGAGTCTTACAGTCATGCTTGCTGAAATTGCATTTCTACCTAATGATCATTATTAATGTTACTCTGTAATATTAAGGCATGTGACATCAATTATCAGCGCTCCAAGCGGCGACGGAAAACGATAGCCAAAATGCTTAGAGGCGTTTAGGTTGCTGAATAAGCTGGATGCGAGGCTGTGTGAGGCATGTGGGAGGGGAGGTTTAGGGGCCAATATCTCAGCCTAGGAGTATCGTATTGACAAGCGGTTGGTCTTGTTTTAGAGAGCAAAGAATTCTGCTTAATGCAATACCATAAAATTATTCTAGACTTGCAGGCAAAGTAGAATAATGTTGTCGTGAAATAGCACTATTTTCCCGTTTTCCCGTTGTACACTCTAGGTATTATTAGCTCTTGATATTATGATATACTACAATTTGTACACCCTGAATTTCACCAGCATTAACAAGATTACGGTCTTACCTGCTCAACTGTACTCTGCAGCCGTTGTTCAAGGGTATTAATGACTTTTATCTTTCCTTGATTGGCCAGTAGCTCTATGCCCCCAGCACTGAAACGATTATATCGATAATTCTCACTAACCACAAATCACAACGAATGCATTTGGCTGACAATGATTTGCATTGCAGAATTGCAGAAACACTTGTCACGCTTTACTTATAAGACAACAATAATTCAGCTTTGAGCATTATTGAAAAACGACTTTTTAATGGATGATAATTATGGAAGCTGTGTTTAAATTTCCCTTTACCGACAAAAATACCATAGCAGCAACATGGCAGTTGTGAGCATAGCACCAATGCCAGTCATCGTACTTACAAGGCAATGCAATCCACCACACTTACATTTCTGCAGGGAGATAGCTCTCCTTGTCGATGCTTAGCTTCACGTTTGTACCAGTCGCAGCCTTAACTTGAGTGACAGCACTGGGAAACACCGACTCAACCAGTGCCACATCCTTCTGCCGACATCTGATCACAACAGTGTGTTCCAGTAGTTGGAACAGACCCTAGACAAGCCCATACATCGGCATCAGGACATAATGTAACGGATGTCTGACTACGCCAAAAAACACTTACCAGCCTAAAGTTACAGCTTCACAACTTATTAGGCAATATTTCTGGGTAATTATCTGAAGACACAAGTACACCAATTAAGATATGTGATCAAAAATCATGAATAAAAGAACAATGAAAAAAATTGAATTCCACGATCTGGGCATAGAGGAGCTCACAGTTTTGTGCCCTAAAACATCATCTACAATAAATAGTGTCATCGTTACTAAAGTAATCTTGACAACTGTCAATAACATTGAGTAAGCCACTGAACATCCCTCATGTAGGCAGCACCACCTACATAGTACAGTTACCACGCATGTTAAAGGTAGCTTCCCTCGAACTTTCCACGTAAATTTGTGTAACAAACCACTGTAAGAACTTAAGTAAATAACTCACTACACTTTAACTGAACGTTAGCTTTGAAAATAAAACTGTAAAAATATGTATCAAGCCTATATTTGCTCATCGAAGAAACAACTCAAAAAACGCTTTTCGCCGCGGTTCCAGGGTGATGCTCCATTAGGAGCGTTCCCAACTTTAATGTCATTAATGTCGTGATATAAAAGAGATATAAAGGGGGGTGGATCGATATCAATTAGATATCAAGGGGGGTTAGATATGAAATAGATATCAAGGGGGGGTGGATCGATATCAATTAGATATCAAGGGGGGTTAGATATGAAATAGATATCAAGGTGGGGGTTATATAGGGTATATAAAGGGAGCAAGCAACATTGAGACTGGGGTATGTTCGCTTCGTTTCGCTGGACTTCGTTGCTCGAGCAAGCTAAATACAGAACAAGGCCATGTTCGCTTCGCTTCGCTCGCCTTCGTTGCGCGAGCAAGCGAAATACAGAGCGGAGGCCATGTTCGCTTCGTTTTGCTGGACTTCGTTGCTCAAGCAAGCTAAATACAGAACAAGGCCATGTTCGCTCGCCTTTGTTGCTCGAGCAGGCGAAATAAAGAGCAGTGCATCTTCCCTTCGTTTCACTAGCCTTCGCTGCTCGAGCAAGCAAAATACACAGCGGGGCCATTTTCGCTCCGTTTCGCTGGACTTCGCTGGTCGAGCCAGCAAATTAGAGACGAGGGGTATGTTCGCTTCCTTGCGAGGAAGAGAGAGGGAGAGGAGAGAGAAATGGAGGGAAAGAGGTCGAGTGAGAGAGAATGACAGAGAGAGATAGAGATAGACATCGTTACAGAGAGAGATAGAACCATTGGGTCATAACCTGCCAGTGTGTATAATTTTACATACCATGGTTCATACATACATAACACGGCAAGTGTGCAGAGCGGAACAATCGCCGCATAGCGGCAACGGTAAACGCGTTTGAAACATTTGACCCGAACGTTTTACTTTGTAGTCTAAAGCTTTGAATGAACATATTCCTGAGAATTCTTTTTTCCACCTATCACACATATATAGGCAAGTAGAAGCGTGCAATGTTAAAATAATTCACTTTTGGCTGATTTTATGTTTGCCGCTTGAAAGTTCGAGGGAATATCCCTTTAATAGTTTGTTAGGCTAGCTAGTTTCGAATCCTGCTTCACATGTACACAATTTTGTGTTAGAAAATATAAAATTCTATGCTTTTATGATTTAAAATGTTAATTATATTTTAAATGTTACCCAATTAAAATGTCATTTGATTAACATTTTCAGGTAACATTGGGATATTATCATCATGAATAAATTTATATAGTGATATAGTTAAACACTGATATTGTTTACACAGAAATACTTAGTTAAACACAAGTGCTAAATTGTTAATTAATTGTTACCTGCAAATTTGTCTGTCACTTTAAAACAAAATAAACAAGTGAATTTGTTCTAGAATGTTACAGAAACAATGCCCAGTTACCTGCACGATAAGACCTTCTAGAATCTGTGCGTACTTCTGCTGGTTCTTTGTGACATCTCCAAGTCGTCTGACATTCTCATCAACAATGTTCTGCAAGATTCACATTTTGTTTGAAGGACGCAACAAGACTAACATGCAGAACAAGAACACACGCGTTTTACAAACTCACCTCTAATCAGACAAAATATATGTTTTGTTGTGTATAACATGTGTTGTATATATCTATGCAGTCACTAAACGCGGGAGAGGCGTGTTACTGGGTGATATGGGGCTAGGATTACCTAGAAGTACTCGATTTTTATCGCTTTATATCTCGGCACAGGAACATCGTAGAGACAAGCGGTTGATCTTATATTGGCTAGCTATGACTCCTGCATAATATTCCGGTAGATAAGTATCAAAAAAAAAAGGTAGGTAAACTTTATTAATTTTGCTGAAACGACACCATGGTTTTCCTATTTCAGCGTTGTACGCTCTGGGGTTAATGGGCTCTTGATACCTTCACATGGTCCTCCCTTGTTTTCAGAACCTTGAGCCTTGCCTGGTTTAGCATATTCGAAGCTTGAATCTTTCTCTGCAACTCCACTTGCTTCTCCTTTTTCTCGTAGAAGTCCATGATCTTCACTCTCTGCTGCTGAACCAGCCTACCTTTCTCTATGTTAAACTCCTCTTCTGCCTAATGCCAATAAAGGGGATAGAAAAGATTTAATATGAAGCACTAGAAAATCTGTTTAACATACATACTATATCAGAGGTAGAATTACACTACAGTGCTGATGGCAAGTTCTGCAGCTGTTGTCCTTACTAGCCATAATTTAATCCCCCTGAATATTTATTAAACAGATAACTTTGATCCTGGATAGCGTTATGGGGCCTTGCATTAATGCATCAGTACAACAGAATGTTGTTCCGTGTCTACAAAAATATGGATTGATCTAAACTGAACTTACCTTCGCCTCAATTTCTTCGGCTTTTTCATTGGCTTCTTGCTCAATGAAGGCCATCATATGCTTGATCTAAATTAAACATTACACATTGTATTCAACAACTTTCTAACCTATAGAATATTAGATATGTAATGGAGTGTACATGCTGAGGTTGTGTAATGATTTCCAGCTAACGTGGATGAACTCGTGGCACATGCATTACGATCCCTGAGAGACACACTGCCGAATGAAATTGACTTGAATACCAAGGTAAGGGCAAAACATGCTTGCCAGTGTAGGACTTTTTAAAAACAATTTTGTTAGTTATCATTTCTTTTACAAATTGAGAAAATTATTTTTTGAAAATAACGTTCATTTATTGCTAGCAGATATAGCTTTGTTTCGTGTGAGAATTTTACTTTTAAATATCATTATTTTTACTTTCAGAACTGCTCCGTAGCAATTGTTGGCAAAGATCAGCCATTCACCGTGTATGAGGATGAAGATGTTGCTAAATTCGTATCCTTCCATATTGTGTTTATGTTCCGTGCTTGTTGGACATCGATTAACATTTGGTTAGCATGTGAAAATAGATACACAGGCTATTCGATGGCAGTTTTAATCTTTTAATGTATTCGAAACATCTCTCCTGATACTGTATTCTTATATTGATTCTGTTATTCTTATTGATATCTTAACTGTATATGTTTAGCTGGCACTTATAGAAGCAGATGAAAGAAAACCAGTGAGAGTGAGAGAACAAGCTGCAGCCGTAAGTACACAGGCACATATTTTCACGTTATTTATCAATATCTGTCCAAAGCACAAGATATCAATGTGAGGTATTTCTACACTGAGTTCATATCCAGCATTTACAAAGTATGTACTTTTTTGTAAACCCTATGGTAAAACTAAAACCTCTTGCAGGGTTGCCACCAAAGAATTCTTTTAGAGTTTAGCATGTTGGTAGCTTTCTATCGCTAGTAGCGAAAATGCTGTTGATGGCGGTCACCCATGTTAATGTAGTGTTCTAACAATCATGCATGGGCACAAGCTGGTCTTTGCTGTATGATTTAATTGTTGGATTGAGGATCGGCTGTATAATATACTCATGTGTGAATGTCCACCTATTTTTGCTTGCACAGTCCCCAATGGATGATTCAAGAGATGATGCAGAGGCACCACCTGCGGTCGAGGGAGAGGAGAGCATGGAAACATAACAAGACTAAAAATATGTACATTCTCTTTCTAAAGGCGTGACAGCTTTACTGTGTCACACCTACGAAGCTTGTGTGGCTTTAAATTTTTGTGACAGCCATTGAATGGTTTGTGGCACCATGTGATCGATCCAGGTAGTTAAGGGATAACTCTTCAGCTCTAATTAGTGACGTTCTTGTTATTAAATTTGTTCAATACAATGAAGAAACCTTGTACAGCCATGGATTAATTCAACAGGCATGGAAAAATTCATCGTAACCAATTAAAAATGTGAATAAAATTGTGAAAATAAATTACAATCTTTCTACAAGGCTAACCTGCGCCAATACCTGTGGGGGTTGGGCAAACCTTTGTCGCTAATGAATAATGATAGGGCAACATAACTGTGTGGATAAAACATTTTTCGTGGCTATTAGAAGTTTGCGATCAGATGTCAGATGGATGATATGGTCAGACGTGTCTCTGCGCATGCCTACTATCTACTAAGAGAATTCACAATTTGTTGGAATTATGTATTTAAAAAAGGGACATCCAGAAATAAGGTTCTATAAAAGATTAACGTTTTTTAAAGTCAAGATTTAACGTAGTGCCTTCTTTATAGAATAAGTGGAAGCCCAATTCTTTCAACATCGATTCCATGCAACCTCGAACGAAATTGTGTACATTTTTGTTGCCGTTGGTCGGCGCTCGTGTCACATGAGAAGTAGTGCATGATCATTGATGCTAAATATAACAAAAAAAACATAAACGAAAAAAAAACATAAACATAAACGAAATAACATAAACATAAACGTAAACATAAACATGACATAAAAATAAACATAACATAAACAAAAACATAAACGAAATATAGCAACATCGGTGCCGTATCAGTTTTCCACCCCTCCACCTCACCCACTTCCACTTCTTCTACATTCTTGCTTCTACCTTCTCTTCATCATTTCTTCATCGTCTTCTCATTCGTGAGGGATTCTTGGTCGCGTTTCTCTACTTAGCTGCCTCTTCTTCCTTCACCTCCTATCTATTTCTTGCACCTTCTCCCTTATACCTTCTCCGTGTTACACACCATCTCGCCCTCCTCTAGCTCCAGTACTATAGCCCGCGTACAGTTGCCGCAGGCCTGCAGATAGATGGCAGGTAATAGTAAGCGTATGTGTGTTTTACGCCATGTTTGCGTGTATCTGTGATGCTACCGCAATCCTAGCACTGGCTGGTATGGTAAGGAGTGACGTAATATGGATATCTATTATCTCTATCACTTATGTCACTCCTAGTATGGCTCATAGGGTCTATGTAATATGGATATCTATGGATGTCTACGTAATATCTATTATCTCTATCACTTATGTCACTCCTAGTATGGCTCATAGGGTCTATGTCCTCCAGTGTACTGCCGGAACGTACCCTGGGTACGGTCCGGTATACCGGAACGTACCCTGGTAACTATTTGATATGGTTAAGGTTAGGGAGTAGGCGTAAGCGACTCCCTAGACTCGTTAGTGGAGTAGGCGAGGTACGGTCTGGCATATTAGATAGTACCAGGGTACGTTCCGGCAGTACCCGGGGGGACATAGACCCTCTCAGCCCTAGTATGGCCTATAGTTCCGCCATTGGCCCTGCGTCTGCTTACACGTGTGCGTGCATGAGTGCCCTCGTGCGTGTGTGATTGCATCAAGAGCTAATAATACAAGTCTGTGATGTACTGGAAAGAGGAGCGCTTTTAAACAATAACTAGAAATTTGAGTTATATTTAACAGCCGTTGGTAACATAAGCCTAATCGCTGCTAATGAGAGAGAATGCCTGAAGGTATATTATAAAGGATTTTTATCTAAAAAAATTATCCGTGTATTGGGATGGTATCATTATGATCTACTCAGTCCGTCCTAATTTTAGCCTTACTTGAACAAATGCCATGAATGCAGACCTGCAGGATTATGAGCAAAATATTATTGTACACTTCACAAAGTTACAACCTGAATATTCATACCACACAAGCAGTCGTCATCGGTCATTATGAGTCAAATAGTCATCTGTTACCAACGGTATATACTAATAAAATATGAACGCGCGTGACAGCATTGCATAAGATTTGTGCCCAACTGTTGACGGACGTACGGACGCACGCTCATGCGATTCTACAAGCTGCATCTATGTCAGATGAGCTAAAAATATTGTAAATAAATGCAAATTCTATTTACTACCAAAGTCTTCATGTTTATATATTCTATGTCGACTAGTAATTCCACATAAATGCTGTTCAATTGCTCCTCTGTAGCACACAGTTTCACAATATGCACATCAGTCTCTACAAACTCACAAAAAGATAGATTAGGCAGAAAAGCCTGGGGCCCGTTGTCAGAAACAAAATTAGTCTTAACATTAGTCTTAACATCAACTTCCACTCGTAAACCGTTGACAGAAACATCGTAAAGTTACGAGAATGAAAAATCCTCGCAAATATCCTCTTAACATTACGAGAGCCCAGACCCTCTCGTAACTTTAATATTAAGATGAAAATAACACATTTAGACTAAGAATTACAATTATAGTGATATTATATTTTATATTAAAGCCGCACTATGCGCATCCAAATGCTAATTTCTCCAGTACCAGACTAGCAAATACTTCGTGTCATGCATAATCACACTACCTTATGGCAAAATAAACTCTAGTTCCTGCCATTTCACTGCGCGTTTGCTTAAAACCCACAAGAAAGAGGTGCGAAATCTGGTAATCTGGCGCCAATGCTAAATTGTTTGCCAAACAATTTTGCCAAGAAACGGTTATGTGACGTCACATGTTTTTATCTTTGCTACACCTGTACCGCTGTACCGCAGCACCGCTGTGCGGTTGCTTGGCAGGGCAACGCGAAAGTGTCAATAACATCGGAGAATTTGAACAACATTGGAGGTTTTTTCAAATGCCTTTTATAAGACAACGCGCAGTGAAATGGGAGGAACTAGAGTTTATTTTGTCATAAGGTAGTATGATTATGCATGACACGAAGTATTTGCTAGTCTAGTACTGGAGAAATTAGCGTGTAGACTGTAGATGCGCATAGTGCGGCTTTAATGAGTAATATCATGTTTTTCTTGAAAAACACGTCAAAAACATTAATTATATACCGAGTGTGAAACAAAACAAAACATTTACAAATGGCGGTGTACCTGCCGGAAGTACCTTGGGTCGTTCGTCTATACCGGAACGTACCCTGTAACTATTTGATATGGCTTCATAGTTTAGGAGTAGGCGTAAGCGAATCCCTAGACTCCGTTAGTGGAGTTAGGCGAGTACGGTCGGCATATTAGATAGCTACAGGGGTACGTTTCGCAGTTACCCGGGGGGACATAGACCTATAGCTATTTATGGCTATAGTTCCGGCCATTGGCCTGGTCTGGCATCGAGACGTCTGCTTCACACCGTGTGCGCGTGCCGATGAGGTGCGCCTCGTGCGGTGCTGTGAATTGCCGGATCAAGAGCCCTAATGGATACAAGTCGGTAGGTGTACTGGGAAAGGGAGGAGCGCCTTTTTAAAACTAACAGAGATTTGAGCGTTAATATTTGAACAGCGTTGGTAACATTAAGCCTTGATCGCTGCTAAGTCTGCAGGAGATGAATGCCTGAAGGGGCTATATTATAAAGGATTTTTATTCTAAAAAATTATCCGTTGTCAGTTGGACTGCAGGTTCTCTGATGATCTAGCTCAGGTTCCGCTTCCTATATTTATAGCTCTTTTACTTGAACAATGCCGATGGAATGCAGACGCTGCAGGATTATGGAGAGCAAAATTTATGTGTACACTTGTCACAGTTAAACGCTGAATATTGATAGCACACAAGCAGTCGTCATGCGGTCATTATGACGTAAATAGTATCTGTTCACCGGGTATATACTAATAAATATGAACGCGGTGACAGCATCTGCAGCTATATGGGGCGGCAAGTATCGGATGACTGCATTTCGTTACCGAAATCAATGATTTTGCTAACGACATCCAAGGTCTACAGAAGTGATTTTTCGTTACGAATTCAACTACTGCGAATGATTTCGTTTAACGAAATCAGCTTCTGAGAGTTGGATTTCGTTTATTGCAATTCATGCCTTCACTTGGCGCGCCGGCGCTGCAAGTGTCGCATGACTTGATATTGTTATTAAAATCATGATTTCGGTAACGAAATCAAGGTCTACAAGTGATTTCGTTATGAAATCACTGCTGCCGAGCTGTTTCGTTACCGACATCAGCTACTGCGGTGGATTTCGCTTTACGCACTAATGCTACACTTTTGGCGGCCGGCGCGCCAAGTGTCGCATGGACTGCCTGTTCGTTGTGAAATCAATGATTTTTGTAACGATCTATGGCTCACTCATTTTTTTTTTTTTTTTTTGTTTTGTTCTTTTTTTCTTCTTCTTTTATCGTTTGTTTATTTTTTTTCTTCGGGGCTCAAGCTGTAGCATGGGGTGCTACGTCCGGGGTGGGCGCGCGTGGCTACGCGTAGCACGTGCGTTGTACCGCGTGTTACTGTTGCATGTACCCCGTGTACGTTGGCGCTGATCTGGTGTACGTGCTGGGTGTTACCGCGTGCCGCAGTGCGTGTTACCCGCGGTGTACCGGTGTACGTGGCGGTGTGGCCACACACGCGGGTCCTACGCACGTAAACGAAGATACAGCGGGGGTACACGCAGTACACGAGATACACGCGGGTAACGCGGCGTACACGCCGGGGGTCACGCACGTAACACGCGGGGGACGAGAGTACACGCCACGTGCACGCGGCGTCACGCACGTACACGCACGTACCGCCGGGGTCCACGCAGTACACGCAGAGAGATACACGCACGTACCGCACGTACCCCATGTTACACCTTTTGGCGCCCCATACATTCGGTTAACAACTCACTTGATTTTCGCCCCCCACCCCCCCCCCCGCCCTACGATATATCACTCGTAGGTAGTGTGATAGTTTGTTCGTAACTCGCGTAATTTCACTCGCGTAACTGCATTTCGTAACGAATCCACTCGCAGTAATTGATTTCGTAACGGAAATCACTTTGTTAGCACTTGTTGTTTCGTCTCGTTTACGAAATCAATGGTTTTGTCAACAAATCAGTCATGCGACAGCATGTGGATTTCGTAAAGCGAATGCTGACTTCGCAGTAGTTTGATGTGGTGCGTAACGAAATCATCGCCATAGCTTGATTTCGTAATCGAAATCACTCGCCGTAGTGTCATTCGTAGACGAAGCACGTGTGTTAGACTTCGATTTCGTTCAAAATCGATTGCATTTCGTAACGAAATCAGTCATGCGACCACTTTCCGCCCCCCATGGTATATGTTCGGGAGCGCGCGCGCGGCGGGTGACATAAAGGGGCGCGGCGCCAAGGAAGAGGTACAGGCGTTGCTCTGTCGCGCCTTCTTTTGTTTACTTGATTCCTGTCAGTCTGTCCATCTCTATTGTACGAGTTGGGTGCACACGTGGATTCTGGCGGCTATCACCTTCGCCCGCCAACTCTGTCTTGCTTCTCAGTCTCGGGTTTCCATTCACGGCCGCCGATTAAGCCTCTCCACTGCTCATAGCTCCGTTGCACCCATATTCCTTGAGGGCTGGCACTTCCTTTGGTCCGCGAGCCGTGGCGATCTTCGCGCACGTGTGGGCGATTGTGTAGGAAGTCAGTCTAACCGTTGTTTAGTACGGCTCGACGCTCTGGCTCGCGCATGTCTGCTTCTCCCACACGGTTCGTCGGCCTCGGATTTTTTGCCGCCCGGGGCCGGCGGCCGTTTCAGATGGCCAGAGCCTTTGCAGCTGTCTGGCAGTTCACACGACAGATAAGCTACGTCTACACGCACGAAGCCTTAACTCGAGTTTAAGCGTCTTACACGCGGCGCCTTAATCGGTTAAGGTAACTTCGACGTTAAGGGCTTTTAACCTCACGATGAGGCGGCAGACTAGTCGATGTACAGTAGGGTTCCTAGATGTACGTACACACGGCACGACAACTCTCACGCACGTGCCACACGCACGCACGCACGGTACGGTGGGCAACGCCATGCACGCAACGTACGCTACGTGCACCGGGCGCGCCAGCGCGCACGCCACGCACGAACGGTGTTGTACGCTGCACACGCGCGCCGCAGCGCACGGCACACACTCATAGCAGCACGTGTACGGTGTCATGCACCCACCATGCACGCCTGTCCGCACGCGCGCACGCACATACCTATTCACACACGGTGTGTACCTGCCAAGCAACGCAACGCACGCACCACCACAGCACGCAGACGGTGTGTGCCACACACACGGACGACACGCGGATCGCGCTTGCGACGCACGTGTACGGCTGCCAACGCGCAATGCCGCAGATGTAGGTACACACGCACGCACGCTGCACGCAGTGTACGTGCACACGCACGCACAGCACACAACGACCGCGTGTTACGTACACACGCCAGCAACGGCACACACGCACGTTTCACTACGACACGACGCAGCGCTGCATGAATAATCGGTATGATCGCTATCGGGGGTGGTTGTTCGTCGTTAGGCGCTTACTATCGTAGCTCGATGTTTTGAACGCTTAACTTGAGTGAGG